CAGCGAATGTTGGCTGGGGAATTCTGGGAGTTGAAGTCCGGACATCTTCAAGTTGCCAAGGTTGAGAAACACTGCTTTAGATTATATGTGAAGTCAGGCATGTCATTTGTAATCCACAGGACTGAACGAACTCAGTCAACCGAGGCTTATCCCATAAGCACCTAAAGCATAGTTCAGCATACTGTGTAAACTCAGAAGAAACATAAAAGTCCGCTAATTCTTTTAATTAAGTCCATGAATTGCCCTAATCTGTGTTGTTGAACACGTTAGAATTGGCTTGAGTAAAAAGATCTATGACTTATAGCTGCAATGACTTAGTTCAACCAACAGATGGCGGAGTGATCCACAGTTGGGCATTTTTAGAGCATTTTAGGACTTCCGGGGAAATGTTTCAACTGATTCATTTTGAGTTTAAATCTATTTTTTATTTTCCATTATATATATTATTGTTTTAATTTAATTTTATTATGTTAATTATTTTATTTTATTATTAATTTCCTTTTCCTTTAGTTTTATGGTTTATTTTACTATATGATTTCATTTCATTTTTATTATTTCATTTTATTTTTTATTATTTTATTATATTATTTTATTATTTTAATTATTTTATTATTTCTTTTCTCACCTTCTCTTTTCTCTTTTTCTTTTCTATTCTTCTCTTTTATTTTATTAGTAATTTCCTTTTATTTTATTTTTTATTTTACTTTATGATTTATTTCATTTCATTTTTATTATTTCATTTTATTATTTTATTGTTTTATTTTATTTATTTTATTATTTCTTTTCTCACCTCTTTTCTATTTTCTTTTCTTTTCTTCTTTTTTTATTAGTAATTTTCTTTTCTTTTTTATTTTACTTTACTTTATGATTTATTTCATTTCATTTTTATTATTTTATTTATTTTAATTATTTTATTATTTCTTTTCTGACCTTCTCTTTTTCTCTTTTCTTTTCTCCTCTTCTTTTATTAGTAATTTCCTTTTATTTTATTTTTATTTTATTTTACTTTATGATTTATTTCATTTCATTTTTATTATTCTATTTCATTTAATTATTTTATTTTATTATCTTTTATTATTTTATTTTATTATTTCTTTCCTCACCTTCTCTTCTGTTTTTTTCTTTTCTTTTTCTTTTCTCCTCTTCTTTTATTAGTAATATCCTTTCATTTTTTTTTTATTTTACTTTATGATTTATTTCATTTCATTTTAATTATTTTATTTATTTCCTTTTATTGTTTTATTTGTTTTGTTATCTTTTCTTATTTTATTTCCCTATTTATTTTATTTTATTATTTCTTTCCTCTCATCTCTTTTTTCTTTCCTCTTCTTTTCTTTCATAAGAGAATGGGCTGGTGTTCATGCGCGTGAATGGCAGACTGGTTCCCCTGCCCTCACCCGCCAGGTGTCAAGCTGTAAGAGTTGGGGAGGGGGGCGCAGCGGCTGTTCTATCTTGCGTGTTTGTCAAGATCCTCCTGTATCTTAAGCCTGTCTTCTGGAGTGTTGGCTATTCCTGCCAGCTTGGTGTCATCTGCAAATTTGATGAGTTCCTCATTTATTCCCTCGTCCAAATCATTGATGAAGATGCTGAAAAGTACTTGGCCTAAAACAGAGCCTTGGGTAAATAATGAATGGAAACTAACCAAGGAGAGAAGCAACCTGGAATTAAGGAGAAACTTCCTAACAGTGAGGACAATTAACCAGTGGAACCCCTTGCCACCAGAAGTTGTGGGTGCTCCATCACTGGAGGCTTTCAAGAAGAGACTGGACAGCCACTTGTCCGAGATGGTATAGGACGGTGATGGTGAACTTATGGCAACTATCAGCTGGCGTCTACACTCGTCTTCCATTTTCCGTCGTGCGCATGTTCCCTGCGCAGCTCCTCTTCCTAGTTGAGGCCCAGATGAGCTCGCATGTCTACGCAAAGTGTGTGCACCCGCAAGGTACTGGTCTAGGTACCATCACTGGTCTAGGATCTCCTGCTTGAGCAGGGGGTTAGACTAGAAAACCTCCAAGGTCCCTTCCGACATTCTGTTATTCTGTTCTCTTATTCTGAAATCTCAGTTGCCTCGGGCAAACTGATCTTCCTGGCCGATAGCCCATCCTCGTCACATACACATTCCAGCCTGGTGCGTGCAGAGCTGAGGCTGTCTTTCGGGTTTCCGGCTTGCTTTCTAAACCAAGTTTC